AGCCACAGAGCCATAGCCAGCAGCAGAAGGCCTTGGTGGTTCTGGGGGTCTTCCCCCTCACAGCAGTCCTGGCCCCACAGAGCAGAGCACAGGTATCAGTAGATCTGAGTCTCCTGCTGGGCACTTGTGCCTGGGGAAGGGGTGGAAACTCCTGCCAGGGCCGTCCCCACACACGGCAGGCTGCCTGGCCCTCCTCTCGTGCCCAGCCCAGGGTGAGGAGTCCCCCGTGCTAGGCCACGGCCCCACCACCAACCCAAGCTCCCAAGAGAAGGGCAACCAGGGGGATGGGCCTCAGGAGCCTAAATCAGCTTTCACGTCTGCCAGTTCTTGCTTCCTTCACAGTATGGCTCCACTTCCCTTTCCTTCGTCCCCGTGTCCCACGGCAGGCCTTCCAGGCGTGACTAGGAAGGAGCAGAGGGAAGAGAAGGACCTCTCTGAGTCTCTGGAGCAGTTGTAGGGTTTCAGTCCACCCAACACACCCTTTCTGTCGGGACATGTATCCCCACCTCCACTCACCTGGCACCGGGCCCTGGGGTGGCTACGAGTCCCAGGCGGCAAGTGTGGGTCAGTCCTCCCCCAGCCCCAGGGATGGCTTCGTGGTAGGACACAGGAGGTATGTGTGAAGGTCACAGTTCTGTCCTATGCTTGTTTCCTGGATTCTCAGGGAAGATCGGGTTCCCTTCTCTGGGGTCCCATGCACAGGGCTAGTGTGAGCGAGGGGCCATCTTGCAGCCCAGTAGAGCATGCCTTGTGGAGTCCCCCCTCGTCTACAACCTCCTCCACCCTCCTTAGATTTCCTGGTTATGAGAACTTAGACCACCCTCCTTTTTTTAGCCCACCCTTAAGGGGGTCCAGTATTTCTGCATTTCTGTTGCATAAGCCTGAAAAGGTCCTGTCAAATTCAGCAGGACACTGTCTTTCGATCTTCAACAGATATCTAAGTGTCCCCTTATGTTCAAACTTCAAGATTCCAGACACCCTCCCTGAGGTCATCTCGAGGGGCTGAGCGAGTGAGAGTCTGAGGATAGACGAATAGGATGGGGGTTGGTGGGTGCCACAGGAAGTACTGCAGGAGGTCGGGTAGTGGGGGGGTGGGCAGTGGGGACTGTTCTGCATTCTGCGGGTGACAGGAGCTGTGGGTGGCTTTTGTGCAGGGCTCTAACATCCCTGGTGCTCACAGGAATGGGAGCAGACTGGGGGTAAGCACACAGGAGGCTGTTGGTGTCTGGGGTGGAGAGCAAGGATTCTGGGGGTATCCTGAGGGAAGCCCCTATGGGCTTGGCCGCTGCTGCTGCTGCCAGTTGAGGCATCACGGGTGCCACTGTGGGTAAGTGGGCAAAGAGCAGAGGCAGGTGGCCCTGGGTGGCGAGGAAAGGGGCACCTAGTCAGCACCTCTCAGGACTGAAGAGGGCCTGCAGGATTGTCCACTTAGAAACACATCCTTAGAGTTCCGGAGCCCAAAGCAAGGTCGGTCCCCAGAGCCGTCCTCACGCGATCTCTCGTTTTACTGATGTCCAAACCAAGTCCAAGCGGCAGGAAGGGACCTGCCAAAGGCCACTTGGTACGTCACCAGCAGAGCCAGGCCTAGATGGAGGTCAGATGTCCAGAGCCACAGTCCAGAGTCTGCCTCGCTCGCTCCAGCTCCAGCCCATGGTGCCATCTCGTTTTTCACTCCAGGAAGTGACCGTGGGAGGCCACTTAGCAGGGAAGGGGGGCCCGTCTGGGGAAGGTGTGCTGAACAGTAAATAACTGGGAGTAAGGGCAGAAGGAGAGCTTTGGTTGCCGTAAATCTCTTCAGAATTTTTAAACCAGTCAGGGAATATTGACATGCATTAAATCCAATAAAACATTCATTTAATTAAACTTTAAGTGATCCAAATATTTGCTGTTTGGTTAATATCTGTGTAGCTGGCGGGAGCAGAATTATGATGGTTCTGTCAGTATTCACGCGTTCTAATTTTGCATGAGACTTTCCTACGTGCAAAGTGCACGTCTTCAGACATACAAATAAGCGCGGCAGCCCTGAGGAAGCAGGCTGGAACCTGCCGTCCCAGCAGCCCTCCCACCTGTCATTTTGCTTCTTTGTTTGGTTGTAGCCTTGTGCTAAACTGTTTGAAATACATGAACTTGGGGTTCCATGGAGGACCCTACATTGCACATAGGTCTTACATTCCAAATGAGACCCCAGCCAACCAGAATACCTCACCTTCCCATCCGTGCCCCCCCACCCCCTCACCCTCCGCTTCAATCTACCCAGACATGCCCCTACCATCTTTTAAGGCAGTGGTGGTCAGGGCTCAGGGTACCCTGAGGTGCTTGCTAAAACCAGGATGCCCACCCTGCCACCAGAGTCTTACCAGCCTGAGGTAGAAGGGCAGGAATCTGCATTTCCGTCAATTGCCCCCAAGATGGGAGATGTGATGTCAGTGGTGAGGGACCACACCTTGAGAACAGGAGCTCTGTAGCCTAGGGATGTCCTGCCTCCCCCAGGGGCTGCTGCCTGAGGGCTCAGTGGCTCTTTTCCCTTGTCCCTGGACTAGAGTTCCAACAGGCAGAGAAAATGTCCTTTCCTTTCGTGACCCACCAGACTTCTTCACAAGCCCTGCCCACTGGCGCTGGGAGGACAAAGTGCGTGAATATTCAGTCCATTGTAAAGCTTAATGGGAGCAGGTCATTCTAACAAGCCTGCATTAAGTAATGCTCTACCTAAGCAAAACACTTCATGCCTCCAGTTCCCACCCGGCATCTCCAGCTGCTCCCCAAACTGGCTTCTGACTGTGGATAAAACACACAGCGGTCCCCTGCCACCTGCGGTCCACACCACAGACTCTCAGTTACCCTGTCTTGGGTCCTCTCGGTGGAGGTCCTCCCAGGTTCTGCTCTTGATCTGAGCTGCCTCAGCATCTGATGCCCCCCACAGCTTGGCCTCCCGCAGCCCCCACCGGCACTACCACCGGGGAGAGTCCAGGGGTGTTCCCTTAGGGCCTCGGTCCTCAGGCACACAGGTACATAGCACCTCACGGGCCTGCCAGTGTGTGGCCAGGAAACTCTGGACTGCTCCACGCCACTCAGGAGCCCAGGGGCCTCTGGCTGTGTGCCAGGCTTCATGGGCTCACCCCAGGCAGGAAGCTGGAGGAGGAGTTAACTTCCTCCTAGAGCCCCTCTCGCTTCCCCTCACCTCCATGCCATCAGGCACACCCTTCTCACCTGTTCCCTCATCCCCCACAATGCCCTGGGAAAAGCAGGGGAAGAGTCCGATAAGGAAGGCGTATCCCCTCTACACTCGGGGACAGCTCTGAGTCCTAAGGGCCAGCAGAGCACAGAAGAAGCCAGATCCATGTAGCTTGTCCTCCTTTTCCCTCCCTCTATCCCCTGTGAGTCTTCAAAGCCTGGGGTTTGCAATGGAGGATGCGTGCCTTCTCTCTCCAGCCCTGACCAATAAGCCTCATGACTCAGAGGTGGGAGGGCAGCAAGCAGGCCATGATTTAAGAGGGAACCTGAAATGCATCACTTTAATGTTTGTAAAATATTATGCTGGGTGCATCGGCATCAATCACTTGGCGCTTATCTTTCCCCTGCGGCTCCTTCACGGGGAGTCACATTTTTCCTGTGCGTGAGTGTCGCCTCTCCATGGGTCTGTTGGCTCCTTTCCTTCCTTATTTCCATTTTCTCCATTTTTCATCCATCCATCCAACAAGCACTGATTAAGCACCTAGTGTATATCTTGTCCATCTTCATGTGCCTAGGGCCCGGCTGCTGACTGACTGTGGTGGGGTAAGAGCTTTGCCGCTCAGCATCTGACCTGACTACACGTGCTGCCACTTCACTTGCTCTGCAGGGCATCCCACCTGCCAGTGTTTGCATTCCGGCCCCTCCCCACCCACCACCTTCTCCTCCCCAAGTGTGCTGACAAGAGGGTGTGAGCACAGACATGCTGCCTGGTCACAGTTCACAGGGCTCCCGCCGAGTCCAGGAGGTCAGTTTCTAGCTCTGTGCCTTGCCCCACCCCTGGCAGGGCCCCCAAGTCCCAAAAGAGCAGTGAGAGTGAGGAGGACTCCCGGCATTTTTGCCAGCATCCCAGATAAGCACAGACCCTCAGAGCCAGCCAGCCAGCATCCCTCAGCTACTACCACCGCAGGCTGATGTCCCAAGTGCTCTGAGTTGTAGATGTAGGGGAGGACTAGGGAGGAGGCAGTCCCGTAACCGTCACTGAGCTAGTGACTCTCCCTCTAAGCCTGATGGCATGTCGGTATATGAACAGCCTGAGTCCAATTAATTTTCTCATAAATCCCAAAAATTTCTAAAAGCCTGTGATTGCAAGCAAATATTTTAGACGCTTCCCATTTGCCTAAAGAATAATCAGTCTTAATGCCAGTCAGCAAGTATAAAATGGCAAGGATTAATAATTTGTACAGCCTGAAGCACCCTTCAAAAAAATTAAAGGCTACAGTGCATGGTTGCTGAACAGAAATCCAAATCCAAGTTCAAAGAATCCTCAGACAGAAACAAACCTTCAAAGGTCAGCCAGTTCATTCCCCAAGCTTCAGACAGTGCAACCTTTAAATTGCCCCCAGATGGATGAGAAAGCTGTCAGCTCAGCCAGCAGACCTTGACTGCACTCAGCAAGGCCCAGACTTCATGAGTCCCAGGAGCACAGAGTGGGGCATCCGCCGCACATCTGGCCCCCCACTGGTCCCTGTGTGATGGCCCACCTTCTGGGCTCAACTCATAAATCCATAGCGCATATGGTTTCCCTACACTCGCTATGGCTCCTGACTTCTCCGACTCACAGAAATCTTTGAACATTTCCTGTAAGTTGTGGCCTGTCCCCCAGGAGGGAGTGTCCATCAGTGCATTTAGACAGCACGCCGTAATAGTTTGTAGAGAGCCTGAGAGCCCTAGGACGCCTGCCCTGCCGGGAACCTCCGTGGTTGTTTGCTTGTGAGTGGGGACTCCCGATGCTGGTGTGCACCTGAAGATTTTCTCCTTTCCCCCCGCAGAGGTGGTTCAGCTCAGCCTCGCGCCCGAGGAGAGGGTCAGCGTGGCCACAGTGACTGTGGGGCTGAGTACCGTGCTGACCTGCGCTATCCGTGGAGAGCTGCGGCCCCCCATCGTCTGGAAGCGCAACGGGCTTGCCCTCAACTTCATGACCTTGGAAGACATCAATGTAAGTCGCTGGGCTCTGACCCTGCATGCAGACCTGCCCCAGCAGAGTAACTGCGACTCTGCCATGGTGGTGGCAGAGTGAGAGGGTTTCATTTGAACGTCCTACGTTTGATGCCTTTCAAGCCTGTCGTCTGAGAGCGGGAAGTACCAGAAAATCCAAGTCCCACCGCATGCAGAGAATAGCCTGGATGTTAGCTGCACGCCCGCCAGCCAGACCCACAGTAGGGAAGGGCACGCTGCCCGGGCAGGCAGGGCGGGCCGGGTGGGAGGTCTCCGTGCAGGCTGCAGCAGCGAAAGCCAAACGGTGGGCGTGGGAGTGGAAGGTGAGGGGCTCCGACTGCATGATGGAGCCCACCGTGAGGGAGGCCCACAAGCCCACAGCAAACATGGCCGGACGGGAGGCAGTGGAGCGGGGAGGCCGTCTGGCTGGAAGAACCAAGGGAAACTGCAGAGCCCACACCTGGGGAGGATGGAGACGAGGGGCGAGAAGGAACATGGTTTCCTGTGGAGGGCAGGGGTGAACTGCCCAGCATTGGCGGGAGGGCAGGCTCCAGGTGAGGAGGTGGAAGGAAAGGCCAGAGTGGCCTGCCCTGGGGGCCTTGTCGGCTGGATGTGGGAACGTGGATCTGACATGACTGGAAGAGAGAGCAGCTGAGCACCCACAACCTGACACGACCAGCAGAAATACTTCTGTACTGGGAGGGCCCGGGCAGCCTGGGCTGGGCTCCCAGTGTCACCCCAAAACCCAGCCTCATGACTTTGAGCAATGTCTTAAAGACTACTCTTCGTAGGTATCAGAAAGGGAATGTGAGCAGTCCCTCCCTTCCATGGGGCTTGAAAAATAAAGGGAATCATTCAAGGATATGTGTGGGCCAGATTAAAGTTCATTGAGAAGACAGAGTGACATCACCGATGCAGGGCCCTGCCAGGATAGCTGATAGGTCTTAGCCACAGTAGGGGGCATCTCAGTTTCAGGCAGAAGAGGGGGCATTCCTGGTCTTCTTGGCTTAGTCAAGCAATCTGGCACAGAATGGGATGCTTGGCTCTGAGAAGGAAGACCTGTGGGATGCTTGGTCAGTTCCATGAACATCTCTAAGGTGGTGAGGAAGGGACTAGGGCCGCAGGAACCAGTCTGGGCTGTGTGACCCCATGAGTTCAATAAGCACACAGGGCCAGGGTGCTCCCCCAAAAGAAACCAGTTTGGACTGCTGAGATGGAACACCATTACATCCATCACAGCATCCCCAAAATGGAGTGAGCCATCACAGGAAGCAGTGAGCTCCCCATTCCTAGAGGAATGCAAGCTCAAGCAGGACCATGGTCAGCAATGCTACTAGCCACAGGAGGGCAAACTAAATCCTATGACCTTGAAGATTCCTCCCAACTGCAAGATTGTTTTGTGGGGAGAAATCCCAGTACAAAATTCTGTAGAAACCACCAAGTTGGGACTCTACTACTCATTTGCTGCACCCTGGAGATCATGGGGTGAGCAGATGGGGAGAGGCAGACCACTGTGGGGATTCTGTCTTGGGCACAGCTGGGCAAGGAGTCTCCCTCTCCCTGTCACGTGGGGCAGGAGTATTTCCTTGCCATTTCCCCACAGTGCTGAGCACAGCCTGAATCCCACCCATCTCCGAATGTCAGTGCCAGCACAACCCTGGTGGGGGGTGGATGGACAGAAGCTGAGTGGGCAGAGTCCTTTGTCTTCTGAGCCTGAGGTGCCCAGGGCTTGTCTGGGATCTTAGCAAGGAGAGGTAGTGTTCTGTTTGCCATGATTAGAGTCGGCGGAGGTGTTGGGGTGCACAGACTTGTGTGTGCAAGAGCTTTCGGGGTGGGGCGTCAGCCAACTGTTTTTTGGCCAGTCGTGATTAATTCAAAACTAGGACAGATCTGCCCGTGTCTGTCTGAACTTCCATGTGCATTACTTGATGCTCTATTTAAAGGCACCAGAAATAAAGGCGGAGGAAGAACTCTTAATGCACTTGCCATCGGTTAATTAAATTACTTTGAGTGTTTTTCCCCTCCCTCGAACATGCCTCCAGCATCAACTCAATTGCATTTCCACTTTTCACAGTGAGGTTAGCAATTTGGGTTAATTGTGGGTGCAACTGGAGATTAATGGCCTCTTATTACCTCCCTGGAAACACTTGCTGCTCATGGTCAAGTCAGCAACCTGCAAACAGGCAGGGCCTTGTACTGCCCAGAAACCCTTACGTGGGGGCACAGGGCAGCACCAGCCCCCCAGGGATGCTCACCAGAAGTGTGCAGGTGTGGGACACACACACACACACACACACACACACACACACAGGCCTCCCGCTGCAGTACAGCCTGCCGGAGCACAGCACAAGCTCTGAAGACAAAGGGACCTGGGTTGAAGCCTCAGCTCTACCACTTCCTAGTTGAGTGAACTTGGAAAGAGTACTTGACTTCTCGAAGGCTTGGGGTCCTCCTCTGTGACATAGACATAAATAATAACTCCTGCCTCAGAGGGTCAGAGTGAGGACTGAGTGAGAAGACACATGGGATCGTCTTAGCATACAGTGTTCCAGGCGAACTATTATCCCTCTCTTCATCGTTATTACTATTACTTATATTACTATCATCATTATTATTACTACTGCTGCTGCTGCCAAACAACATTCCCGGCCCCTTGCAGCCTGAGTTCCCAACAGGCAGCCAGCAGCAGCCCCGGGAGGCTCCCCAGGCAGGGAGATGTGACCCTGAGGTGTCCACATCAGCCTCGGACACATGGACCAGCCGCCTCCAGCAAGCCCAGAGCAGCCCTGCGGAAGCCATTGAACTTCTGTGAGTCTGTGGGGGAACGGGGAGGATAATATCCTCCTTCCACAGGCATTTTCAGGCTGAATGTCTGTGTGAATCACGTAGCCCGTGCCCGGCACACAGCAGGTGTTCTTACGTGGCATCCCCGCTCTGGAGACAGTGACAACAGCGGCCCTAGAAGGAAATCAGCCAAGAGATGAGGAGGGCATGGGGAGTCGGGAGCATGGTGGGGAGTGGAGGGGGGCAGCCCCAGTGGAAGATGGAGGATTGATGAGTTCTAGAGCCCCTTGCTGACCCCGCCCACTCCAGCACCAGATGGAACAGCACCGCCCACTGTTAATTAGCGCCAGGCACGGAACGACGCACCTACAAACCCCCAAGGCAGGCGGATGAGAGAGCACCGCGAGGTGTGGGCCTCCTTTCTTTGTCATTTGTATGAGACATCTTGATTGGCAACAAAATATTAATCACTTTTTCACTACTCTCTTAATGAGAAGCTTTCATGGGCAACAAAATATTAATTTGTCTTGTCTTATCTGTTTAGAATTCTGTTAATGAATTCAGTCACAGAGCCATTACAGAATGCCATCCTAATGACACATGTAATTAAACTTTTCTGACTTGCAAACATCAAGGATGCCTCAAGCTTCAGAATCATATTTGATCAGAAAGTAAATGGACCCCTCTAGCCCGGAGCCAAGTGAGAAGGAGCCTCTCGGATTCCCTACTCACTGTCAGGAGCGCTCCTGAGTCACCCCATATGTGCGTGGCTGTCCAGATGGTGTACAAGGGGAGTCATCCCCTGCATTCGCCAGTGCCGGGGACTCGCAGGCCCTCTGCCAGAGTGTGGAGCAAAGACACTCTCCCCAGCCCCGAGGGTGACCACGTATCCACAAGCACAGAATTACAACACAGTACTACCTGTTGTCTATTAGAAGAGGTGAGGCAGAAGAAGGAGCAGTTCTGGCTTCAGGGCACAGGGATAAGCAAGGGGGAGGTACAGAGTGGCAGGATAGGGCCAGAACCTGACAGGTATTGATCATTAACCTAAAGAATCTTGGCCACTCTCTGTGGGCAGTGGGAGCCTTAGTTTTTTTGTTTTTGTTTATTAACATATAATGTATTATTTGTTTCAGGAGTACAGGTCTCTGAATCATCAGTCTTACACAATTCACGGCACTCACCATAGCACATACCTTCCCCAGGGTCCATCACCCAGCCACCCTCTCCTTCTCCAACCCCTCCATTCCAGCAACCCTCAGTTTGTTTCCTGAGATTAAGAGTCTCTTATGGTTTATCTCCCTCTCTGGTTTCATCTTGTTTCCTTTTTCCCTCCCTTCTCCTATGATCCACTGTCTTGTTTCTCAAATTCCTCATATCAGTGAGATCATATGATCATTGTCTTTCTCTGATTGACTTATTTCACTTAGCATAATACCCTCTAGGTCCATCCACTGTCATTGCAAATGGCAAGATTTCAGGGGTATTAATGGCTACATAGTATTCCATTGTATATATATACCACCTCTTCTTTAGCCATTCATTTGTTCTTTCTAGGTTCTTTCCATAGTTTGGCTATTGTGGACATTGCTGCTATAAACATTCGGGTGCACGTTCCCCTTCAGATCACTACATTTGTATCTTTAGGTTAAATACCCGGTAGTGTGATTGCTGGGTCCTAGGGTAGCTCTATTTTCAACTTTCCGAGGAACCTCCATACTGTTTTCCAGAGTGGCTGCACTAGCTTGCATTCCCACCAACAGTGTAGGAGAGTTTCCCTTTCTCCGCATCCTGGCCAACATCTGTCATTTCCTGACTTGTTAATTTTAGCCATTCTGACTGGCGTGAGGTGGTATCTCATTGTGGTTTTGCTTCGTATTTCCCTGATGCCGAGTGTTGTGGAACACTTTCTCATGTGTCTGTTGGCCATCTGGAGGTCTTCTTTGCAGAAATGTCTTCATGTCCTCTGCCCATTTCTTGATTGGATTATTTGTTCTTTGGGTGTTGAGTTTGATAAGTTCTTTATAGATTTTGGATACTAGCCCTTTATCTGATATGTCATTTGTGAATATCTTCTCCCATTCTGTCAGTTGTCTTTTGGTTTTGTTGACTGTTTCCTTTGCTGTGCAAAAGCTTTTGATCTTGATGAGGTCCCAGCTGGGGAGTGACATCGTCAGAAGTTTGTCCTGCGAGAGTCCGGAGCCGCTTCTAGCCTAG